GGAAGTGACGCGTGTCGAGGGAAACATTAGGAAGAATAGTTGTTGGAAGTTGTTAAGTCAGAAGAGAAACGATTGGATCCCCCACCCCACCCCTACATCTTACAGTCGGGCAAACGGAGTCAGTTGGTATCGTCCTTACGTCCTACCGGCATATACCCCTATTAACAGCTCTACAGGCTCACAAAAGGCTGATAGATATTCTGGAGGATTTCCGAATATTTATACGCTGTAGTGGGACCAAAAAACGTTGCATCGTCTATGAAATAGAAGTTCTTATAACACAACCAGTAGAAGATTACGACACGGCCATCTCCATCAGACAAATGACCTGTGTAGAGTATACTAGCGCGGACGTATTTAGAAACTTCCATACATCTACTAGTGTTATGTAATAATTAATATGCTGATAACCTTTATTTTACAGATATTTACAATGTTTACTTTGTTTACGATTAAGTAAAACATTCAAATAAAATTAATAGTTATTGAAAGCACAACTAAGAGACGCAGCACGTGCTGAATAAGGAATAAATTGAGCATACATCAGCGTCGTACACGTCTCTTCCAAGAGTTGTCTTTCCTAACACGAAACAGTTTGCTTTCTTGTACATCTCTCCAATGACGTGTGGGGACCTGAAGGTTTTAAGTCATTAAAATGAAATTACCTTAACGCATGCTTAAAATGCATGAACATTTGCACTAATTAATCTCCATTTTTTCAATTACCTGAAGTACATCTGATTTGTCTTAAAATAAAGACACGCCAACACCATTTGTCCTCGTAAAGCTCATAGTAAATTTCTGGAAATATTCTATATTTAATACCTAAATGGTTCTTAATGATGCACGCTGTCCTGTTCAGTTAAAACGCTTAACAACGATTAATGAGTGTTGATCTTTATAATTAAGTTTGATATATGTCGGTATATTTAAGTACGTGGTAACGTTAAATATCATAATATTATTATGACACTATAATTGATTAATTGGAAAGACGGCAATTTCTGACCTTGTCCATTTTGAAAAAAAATGTGCCAAAATGAAGTTGATATTAGAGAGAATTATATCTATTGGAGAAGCTTCAGATTCTTTACGAAATATGAAAAATGATAAAAGTCCTATGTCAGATGGTTTCACTACTATATTTTTAAAATGTTTTTGGTGAAAGTTAAGAAATTTTGTGGATAAATCAATTATGGATTTATTAATGGTGAATTATCCATAACCAATGGAATCATTACATGTATACCTAAGGGAGACAAACCAATGCAGGTTTTACAAAAAAGTTGGAGACGATCTCCTTACTCAATATTATATATAAAATAGCATCAGGGTCAAAAGCAAGTAGACTAAAAATGTTTTTAGACAAATAAATAAACAAGGATCAAACAGGTTTTATTGTAGGGAGGTATGTAGGGGAAAATACAAGGCTGATCGATGATATCGTGGGGTACGCAGAAGGAAATGAAAAACCTGGTATGCTCTTATTTATAGATTCTGAAAAGGCTTTCGATTCTGTTAGTTGGGATTTTATCGATAATGTTCTGACTTCTTTTTTAATTTTTGGGTTTATATATGCAAGTAGATAAAAATGTACAAGCCAGTGCACTCTCTTCTGAACTTTATCAAGGTAATTATCTTTTTTTTCGAAATTAAGAGAGGCTGTCGTCAAGGAGACCCTATTGCTCATTGTATTTTCATACAATGTGTTGAAATACTTGCTATTAGAATAAGAACAGATACGAATATAAATGTATAATCATAATGTTCCAACTTTACTATCACAATATGCAGGTGATACATCAATTATTTTAGACGATGAATTAAATAATTCTACAAAATGCTCTGGTCTAAAAGTAGATAAAGGCAAAACAAGTCGTTTGAATCGGCAGTAAAAAATCAGAGACGTATGTGATATATACGTCTCTGAAAAAATATAATAATGACGTCATCTTTCCAGAGTGGAATTTACAATGGGGTATTATTAAATTTACAGTATTATGTATTGTGTTTGATGTGGACGCACATCAAATCCTCAGACTGAACTATGACAAAAATTTGGTAAAACTTCAATACTTAACTAACAATTGGAATAGAAGAAATATTACACCTCTTGGAAGAACACATATCATTAAATCCCTTCTCATACCTCAATTCAGCCATCTTTTTATATTCTTGCCAAATCAAGAAGAATCTTTTATAAACAAAACTAAAAACAGAACTTTAATTTTTTTATGAAATGGTAAGTCAGATAAAATAAAAATTAACATTATCAACAAGAACTATTATGAAGTGGGGCTTAAAATGATATACTTACAATCTTTTACTGACTCTTTAAAACTAACCTGGATACGTAGACTATATGCAACAGATGGAAAATGACATGTATTCTTTAAAAGGTATGGAAACAAGAATATTTTAGCAAACTGTGGTAATGAATATATTCATAAATGCCAACAAAACTGTAAAAAATAACTCATTTTGGAAAGACGTATTAAAAAGTTGGAGTAGGTAAGTAAAACATGGGAAAGTCTTGCATATACAAATAAAGCCAGTTTTAAAATACCCATCTGGTATAATAAACAGATACAGATTGAAAACATGAGTATACTTTTAGTGAATGGTATAGGAAAGGTGTAATCATAGTAAATGATTTAATCAAAGATCGTGGTAGTGGATTTTTTTTTTATAGTTTTTATAAGTTTTCGCAAAAATTCAACATACATACATATTTTCTTATCTATCAAGGGGTCATTAATACCATAACATATTTTTGCATGAAGATATCCCAAATGTGAATACAAGTTACCCATATGTCCCAATTAATTGAGAATTATTTATTAAGAAAAAAAGGGAATAAAAGACACCTATAATGTACTTTATCAAAACGATTCCATATCTACTGGAAGAGAAAATGGGAGGAAATATTTGAATTTGACGGAGATAGATGGAGACAAATATATATACTACCGTTCATACTAAGTGGAAATACAAAGTTACACTGGCTTCAATTTAGAATTAATCAACACATTTTGATATCTAATTCATATTTATATAAAGTTTGTCTGGTTGATAATAAATCTTGTTTTTATTGTAAAACTGAAAATGTAAGCACTGTTCATGCAGGGATTGTTAAGAAGTACAACTTTTTTTATCGAATTCTGAATCTTTATTAGAAGTGTTATTGATTCCATTATCTTAAGTTTATATGATGAAATAAAAACAGTGTGAATAACTTAGACATTCTAATATTGAAACTTTATATATATAAGGCCAGATGTCTGCAAACTACCTCGTCCATTTCTGCTCTAAAGAATCAAATTAAAGATATGTATACCACTCAAACATCTACAGCTGTTGGCAAAAGTGAAAATTATCTCCTGAACCTTAAAGAAAAATGGAAAAAATGGGAAAGATTATTAGAAACTACACATTAAAAGATAAAAGCCGTAATACTAGCTTTGCCTAGTCCCTGAAGGGATTTTTTCATATTTAATGTATGTATGAGGTTTTTTCAATCTAAATGTAATTATTATGAAAAAGGAATTCTTCATTATTCCTTAGTCACCTTTCTTTCTGTCCTTTCTTCCATCTTTTCTTATCTATAACTGTCTTTTTCTTTCTCTCTTTAGAGACAGTACAAAGCACCATGTTTTTAACACTTGAAATCATAAACCTGTCTTGCTTTAATTACAAGTGTAAGAGTATAAGTAAATGCTAAAAGATATGATTTCTCATGTGTTTCAAAATATAGAATATAAAGAAAGTGATTTTGTACTGCTGTAAAAATTTCAAAAATAAAAAAAATACCGAAAAATTTACTATTTGTTTTAAAATTTCAAAATAAAAAAAAATGTTGAAACGGCACAATGATGTTATTATACACCTTAGTATAAGGTTTCAGTGACAGGAAAATGGGATCAATATACCGATTGTAAATTGCATTCCGTAAAACCTATCATCGGTTAATGGTCTGTACAGACAACCAACGAGACGAAGTTGTCCTTGCCCGTCTTCGGATGGGTCATACATACCTTACACGTTCATAAATGCTGTAAGGCGAAGATAAACCTCATGTGATGAACCATTCACAATTAAACAATTTTTTTTTTGACAGCATTGACCTTCTGTCTACTCGAGAATTATTTTATGGAACATCACAAACCCTTTTTGAAACTGTTTAGATTTATAAAATTCTAGATTATCTGAAAGATGTTCTTTTGTGATAATATAACCATTTGAAAATTTTAGCATTTGTCTTTTACCTAAAGTTTAGTTAGTTTGATGTTATTTCCTATTGGATCGCTGTATCTTTCACAGGTTGATGGCCCAAATGACCTTTTATTGGTTGACGGACCGATAAGATTGCAATAATAATAATGATAATATCATCGATGTTGGACAATATATATATATCTGGTAATATAGTCTCTTTAATGTTTATCGTTTCTTGATTCATCAGACACGTTTATGTAAACCCCGTGTTGCAAATTGCAAGTATTTCGGTCACTTATGATTCTAAACCCTGAATTTTCCGTTCTCTTTTTTGTTATTGGTCTGTGGAAAATCTCCTCTCTTAAATATACTCAAGGTCGATCGGTTGGTAGGTCACGAGCATCACACAGAAACGATAGGCCGAATTTACATCTCCATTATTGTGTTACAAGGAATGTGATATCGATATATTGCTGTTGTAAAGATGTAAACTTGTGTCGTATTCCGTATTGCTATCATATTTTCATCCATATATATGTGGTCCAATGTCTATTTGCTGTAATGTCACAGCTGGTTTGCAAATACATGACCCAAATATAGATCGGGGAAAATCCTCATCCGTGAAACCACGATCTCAGTGCGTGTTAGTATTCCAACAAATCGGGAATAGTTTTCCGCCAATGAAATCGCTCCAAACTGTTCGGAATACCAGACAACCAATCAAATTTAAGGTGTTTCGTGAAACATTATAAATTTCCTGAAACCCCCGACCGCTTCCTCACTCACTGCCAAGTAACTCGATAGTGAAGACCAAGCGTCGAATAATCAAACTAAACAACTTTGTGAACATGGATTCCACAAGAGTCATCAACTTCTCAGCTGGACCAGCAAAGCTACCAGAAGAGGTGAGTTTTGATCGTCTGACGCTGTGTTTTGTTTGCTCGTCTGGCTCTGGGGATTTCCCCAAAATGTCGATATTTCCGAACGATATTTACACACAAGTAAATTAAAATTTGATGCTACATGCTTGTAGATAAGTTTATTAAGCATGTATTTATTTATATTCTTTATTGCTTTGTACACTTTCTTTCAATTTGAGTGAGAATTTATTGCATGACGTGTTCTGAATGCCGGTCTCACATGGCAGTCTATATTAAGGCTTATGAATATTCATGAGGTCAGGGTCAGAGAGTTTGACACATAAATGGCAGACGGTGTTGTAGACGACAAAGATTTTTACATATACGTATTGATTATGATATAGAAAGATAGAGACATCAAATGATATGTTGCATGTTTATATTGCATCGAGAAAAAAAGTCGAAGCGAGTTGGTTGTGTAACTAATCACGAATCCTTCGCAACTGAGCACGTGCCGTACAGTAGAGCTGATGTAATGACAGATACAGGCATTGTCAGCATGCATAAGAAGCTTTGCGAATTGGATATTAAATTCCGTGAAGGAAAATGTCTAATAAACGCAAAGAGTTTCATACATATTCTATGAACATTAGATTATAAATGTTCTTATGATGTTAAGTAATGACTTAAAATACAGACAACAGATCAGTTGTGTAACCTCTCGACGCGTAACAGATCGTGATAACGGACAGCTAATATTACGTGTAGATCGATGTTGTTGGCAACGCGTGATAGAACACATGCTTACAATACTTCAAGATCTCGCCATGTACTATTAAAAGAATCAATTGAGATCACAGGAATCGGATGTTCTTGATGTGAAATGTGGCTATTTGCTGCTAAATTAGTGTGAAAATCGAGGAAATTTGTTAACATCACAATCAGTAATATGAAGTCTGATATAAGAAATATGATTTCTGCTACTTATATAATAGATCTATTTAACACAGGTGGCAGGGTGATTTTAACGTTGTGTGTTAAATTTTCACAAATTGATTTTCTTGTTTGTTCCCTTCAAAAGTAAAAAAAAAAAAAAACCAACCAACGTTACTCTGGCACTTTCCATGTTTTAAGCTGGTTCTGATATTACTGATATCAGACAAGTTGACAACACCAGTATCTGTATTGTATGTCTGTGATATAAAAAGATTGTGACCAGTGCATGTGATTCAAGAATTACATCATCCCGGATCTGACTCGCATGACAGATTTCCAAAATCACCTGTCTTTGTCATATTCGATAAAGCGATCAGATAAAAAAATGAATTGTACCTAGGGATTGATACTGTTTTGACTACATTTATAAATAGGTTTGTGATAATAAACTGAATGATTGATAGCTAACAGCAATATGGACATACTGGTCACTTCAGTGATAATAAGAGTTCTTTGTGCAATCTGTTATAATGAATAAAGGTCTCTTACTTATAACAAATTATTTTCATATTTTACCCAAATCATCAAGTACCAACCGGGATGAAATTAGAAATTATCTCATAATGTTGACAAGTATGTACATTGACAATGAATTTATACTTTCTGCAGTGACCTATTGTACTTGAGCTTTTTTATATATGATTACCATGGAAACACTTTGAACTACACAATACCCTCCCCTACTACAAAAACGTAACTGAACCCAAATTACTTTCAGGAATCTTGGTAAAACTATACAGAGGGACCCCGTTTTGTAAATACCTAGCACAAATTCTGATTGATTCGCAGCTACGGTATTGTGTGGGTTGATAATTCTTTTCCATCAGTGATAACATGCTATCGTCTCGCTAAAGACTGGTTCTTTTATTTTGATACAAGTCTGTGCTTTTCTACTCATTCCCTGTTGGCTGTATACTTGTAAAATACACATTCTAGATAATGTCAATTAAAAAATCAGTAATTTTCCACAAGTTGCTGTGAGCATGGCTGCTATTTTTAGATTCCTTTCCTTGGTATACACATACTACCTGAAGGTTATATACACACACATTCCTAAAGGTTTATTCTATATGTAGGTCAAGTTCTAGTGGGCTGACTAGCCAGTATGTAGAACGAACAGGTCAGGTTGTGTCACAGTCAGTGCACCACCTGATTAAAATACTCTGAATTAAGACTAAATTTATAGGGGGCCCCAGAAGAGAGAGAGGTATAATATGCATTATAATCATAGAGTGCTCAGAGGTGAAGATGGGTGGGGAAATTCAGAAAGGTTTGGTAGTTACAGCAGAGGGATGGATGTAAAGATCTGGAAAAAATAGTGAGGGGCTAGCAGAAGGTTAGTTGTCGTCAGCTGTTATTGATTGCTGGTCTTAGTCGGACCTGACACGGGTTTGTTTAGAAGAGTAAATTATCTATAAACTCTTGATTAGGAGTGCATGATACACAGATACATATATAATTTGTGACTTCTCCCCCTTCCCTCTCCCCCATTCTTTACTTTAACAGGTCAAGTTGACTCTCCTAAACAAACTAATGAACTAATGGTAAAGGTAAATTAACTATACAGGGCTACTGATGGTTGTCAAACCACCATTAATAATAAACAGGTTCTCCTTGACAATGAAGGTTACGCCTGTTAGGTGCTTTACATTACTGACCTAGTTATTTCTACATTTATATAACCAGAATTTTTGTCACCCACTGGAATACTTTACTTTCTTTTGTTATATTGGGGTCAAAAGTAGGATGAATAATTACTCTAATTATTCATGAGTCTTTTTTTATCATGGATACAGACAGAACCATTAATCAGCCAGACAAGGTGGGGAGATATGTGTCTGGAGACCATTACACAATAAGACTAATACTGATTATAAAACTGATGACCTTGACCTTCTTGTATATTTATCTAATAAAAAGCCCATGTGTAGTATATAACCCTTCTTTATCTCTGTCCAGTAGAAATCAGTCTATGCTATTTCATTGTACTATGATTAACGTCTGTTTAGCCTACCCCATGTTTTTTAATCATAGTATTGTGTGTAGTCCTACAGCTCACAGCTCCACCCACCCCACACCCTGAGCAGCATACAGCTCCACCCACCCCACACCCTGGGCAGCATACAGCTCCACCCACCCCTAACCCTGAGCAGCTCACAACTCCACACACCCCTCACCCTGGGCAGCATACAGCTCCACCCACCGCACACCCAGGGTAGGATATACCTCCACCCATCCCACACCCTCTGCCTGATGAAAGTATAAATGTAGTGTGTTTACTTCATAGTCTGAAAGATAAAAATCAATTGTAAAATAAGATATAATTAAATTCAGTACATTAAGTCGTTAATACATTGTGTACACAAAAATGTAATATGCAAATTATCATTTTGTCATTAAACTCCAGAACACCAAAAAGACATGAAACTATAATTTTTAATTTTAAAACATGATTAAATATTTTCACTACACAATATAATAGCAAAGATTAGATCTGTTCTGAAGGCCACTTGTTATCTCTGCCATTTTGATGTCGTCTGATCACAGGTCTCAACTACACGTGTCAATATGATATGTAGATCTGGTCACTTGGTAGTCTGGCCAGATATGGTCAGGTATATTTACTTAAACCTTGTAGTCGGGGATTAAGCTCTGTGACCCTTACCTACCCTAGTATATAACCATGAGTCTTGTCAGCTTTGTTCCCTTAGAGTTAATTGTATTAAATTTGTTCTCCAGTATTATGTTTTAAGAAAAAGTATTTATTTATTGCCAAACAAATTATAAAACTGAACGGAAAAAACAATGTGGTGACCTTTTTATTTACCAAACACTGTGAGAGAAAAAATACTTTGTTTTGCAGAAATTATGGAAGAGTGGGTCTTTCATTTTTGTACATACATTTCAAAAACTGAATGGGAAAAAACCCGCTGTGGTGGTCTTTTTATTTACCAAACATTGCAAGAGAAAAAAGATTTGTTTTGCAGAAATTATGGAACAGTGTATCTTTCATTTTTGGTACATAGGTTTCAAAATAAAACTTCTCAGAAATTGTAAATAACTTTACAGAAATTTTATGTAATCAATTTTTTTTATGTTAGATTTTTATTCATTTTTTGCAGGTCTTGGAAAAGGCACAGAATGAAATGCTGAACTACAATAACACAGGGCAGTCTGTCATGGGTAAGTAAAGTTATACAGTTCACACCAGAAGTTTCATACACACTTGTAAAATGTGGGAACATAACAGCTTGGTTGTATTTCACTGCTTGATGTATGGATGGATTAGTTGTGGAATCAAACTGCAAGATAAAGAAAGGTGGGGGAAGAGGGGAGAAGGATGTATGTGTCTAATCTGTAATTTTTAAATTTATCAAAGTCATGTTTGTTGTTAATTGAGTATGTTGAATATGTTCTTTTAATTTTTTGTGTGGACTTTTTTTTAATTCTCTGAAACAATGTTTTTTTTTGTCTTTTTTCATTAGAAATTAGCCACAGGTCAAGTGATTTCACCAAGATCATCAATGCAGCAGAGAAAGATGTCCGTGACATTTTGTAAGTACAGACTTTCAGCTTTTCATTCTAAGCATTGTAGCTATGATTATTAATTAATTCTGTAATGCAATTTTGACTTTGAGATATTTTTTAGGTTCAGGGAAAATCACTCTCTTCATAGACACTGTAATTTTATACATGAAATCTTTAACTAAAATGTTTATTAAAATACGCACACACACACACACACACACACACACACACACACACACACACACACACACACACACCAATATTTGTAAACAGGATACTTTATTGCAAAATATCAGCAAGGGAGATAACCCAATACTATCAGAGCCAAATTTAATTCAGTGTTTATTTGATTATTATGTCAGTGTTCAAGCATATAAAATAACTTTGTTTAATTGTCATTTTTTTCTTCCAAAGGAATGTACCAAGTAATTACAAGATCATCTTTATGCAAGGAGGTGGTACTGGTCAGTTTTCAGCCGTACCTCTCAACCTTATGGGACTCAAAGAAGGCCACACTGCGGACTACATAGTGACCGGAAGCTGGTCAGCCAAGGCTGCAAAGGAGGCAGAGAAATATGGCAAAGTCAACGTTGTCAACCCTAAAATGGACAAATACACAAGTAGGTTATATAACCACCACCAGCTTACTTACAAGTCTTAAAATATCTTGTAGTGGTTACCAAGTATTTCTGAAATTATATTGTTTACATGAACTCAGTTTATTAAAACTAGATCAAACAATTGTGACCCAGTCACTTCTATGATTTAAATTGAAATGTGAAAATCAAGCCTATGTAATCTAGTAATATACTAGTCACAATATACCACTCGATTAGAGAGAAAATCTTTTTAGCTTGATCAGACTAGTAAGTCAGAGGTCCTGAGTTCAAATGTTAGCGGAGGCATTGAATATGATGATGACCCCTGTTACACATATAAACAATCATAAGTCTGCAGGTTTTACAAACAAGAATAATGTAGAATTACTTAAATAATAAATTAATGTTATTTGTTTTTTTGTAGCCATTCAACATGAATCAACATTCAATCTAAACCCTGAGGCCTCTTATGTATTTTACTGTGCCAACGAAACCATCCACGGTAAGGAGATGTGATGAAATAGGTTTAATTAGTATTGATTGCTGTTATTAAGGACAGAAGGAAATTATTAGAAAAAAAATATTCTGTAGTCAATCTCATGTTTTCTGTAAACTATATTTCCAAGGTATTTCAAAGTCTAGTAAGATTATGGAAATTTTAATCATAAAAAACCTTTTACACTGGATTGTAAATATAAATTTTTTGACTCTGTAGTAAGATGTACTGTATATTTATTTCTCAGGTGTTGAGTTCCAGTTTATACCTGAAACTAATGGTGTCCCTCTTGTCTGTGATATGTCATCAAATATGATGTCTCGTCCCGTTGATATCTCAAAGGTAAAGAATCACTATAATTTTTAAACTTCTAATCTGGCATTCATTTAGAGAAAAAAATTATATTTTTATAATTATTGAAAAAAAATATAATGTACCTCACATTTTAAAAAATAGATTTTTAACATATAAATATTAAAGCCCTGCTCAACAATTGGGTTTTTTACCTGGGGTTTTCCTTCCACACCCTCATACATTTCTATATAGGCCTGTTACAGTGATTAGTAAGCTAATAGCTCTTTTTGTTAAAATAAAATTTCTATGACGCTAGCCTTTAATGAAAAATTGATTTGATGAACATTTTTATTGACAGTTTGGCGTAATTTTTGCTGGAGCCCAGAAGAACATCGGATGTGCTGGTGTCACAGTTGTTATAATTAGAGAGGATTTAGTGGGACATGCTCACAAAATGACACCAATTATCTTTGATTACAAAACACAAGTTGGAAACAACTCCCTGTATAATACAGCACCTACATACAAGTAAGTTTTATAATTGAAATTTATTTAACTTTAATAAGTAAATATTTTGATTACTGTTATATATTTACTGTTCAATTCTTGTATAAATGTGATAATAAGGCCATGCAAATTCTGTATTAATAAAAGCAACTGTTGTCTTGCTACTCCAAGTTGAAGTTCCTCTAGGCCTATTGGTCAAAATAATTGTAACTTTTTAATTCTTCGTCATTCTAGAGGTAGTATTTACAGTGATCATGTGAATAAAAAAAACAAAAATTTGAATTTTGTGTTGTAGTATCTACATCCTTGGACTAGTATTACAATGGGTAAAACGTCAGGGAGGTCTGGAGAAGATGGAACAGCTATCTAGCTTAAAATCCAAAGCTGTGTACCATGTCCTGGACAGCTCTGAAGGATTCTATTGGTAATTATCTTAAGTTTTGGGAAGTCATTTGTCTGGTTCAGTATCAGTGTATTCTGTACTAAAGGAGTGACATTTTGCTTTCCTGTGTCTGGTTCAGTATCAGTGTATTCTGTACTAAAGGAGTGACATTTTGCTTTCCTGTGTCTGGTTCAGTATCAGTGTATTCTGTACTAAAGGAGTGACATTTTGCTTTCCTGTGTCTGGTTCAGTATCAGTGTATTCTGTACTAAAGGAGTGACATTTTGCTTTCCTGTGTCTGGTTCAGTATCTGTGTATTCTGTACTAAAGTAGTGATGTTTTGCTTTCCTGCGACTGGTTCAGTATTTGTGTATTCTGTACTAATGTAGTGATGTTTTGCTTTCTTGCGACTGGTTCAGTATCTGTGTATTCTGTACTAATGCAGTGATGTTTTGCTTTCCTGTGACTGGTTCAGTATCTGTGTATTCTGTACTAAAGTAGTGATGTTTTGCTTTCCTGTGACTGGTTAGGTATCTGTGTATTCTGTACTAGTAGTGATGTTTTGCTTTCCTGCGACTGGTTCAGTATCTCTGTATTCTTTGTTATAGTGGAACCATTGAGCCTCACTGTAGGAGTAGAATGAATGTTCCGTTCCGAGTCGGTGGACCTGAAGGCGACGAAGCTTTAGAAAAGAAATTCTTAGAGGAGGCAGCAAAGAGGAAAATGATCTCATTAAAAGGACACAGGTAAGGAATTTAATGATTTGTCCTGCTGAACAAGTCAGTAATACAGTGTTAATGGTTAACCTCTGTTCTGTGTGGTGGAACAACACATTAAATAGCCCATTACAATAACAGCAATGCCATGTGTAAAGGGTGCTAAGTTATCACTTGTTTACAAACAGATGTAAAACAAATAAGGTGTAGGTAGTATAACTCTGTACTAATTAGGGTTATTATTCACAGTTAACGAATTGAATTACATAATAATTGAAATAAAATGAATTTAAGAAAAAAAAGCTTGTTTAAGATAACTCAAACTGTATGGTTTTCTGGAGGCAAATTAAAACATGTATACTGGGGACAGAATAACATTCTGTAGTGGGATTACCATGTTCTATTTTCTAATTTGTGGATTCGGACCTAGGCAACATCTCTTCACATTTTATCTTCTTGCCCCCCTCCCCTGCCCCCTTTACTGGGCTTAATGTGGAAAAGTTTGTGAATATCTGTGTAATTAAATGTAACAATATGTGATATCTATTTATTTTGTTGTAGATCTGTTGGCGGTATGAGGGCTTCATTATACAATGCTGTGACAGTGGAGGAGGCAATGGCTCTGGTGAATTTCATGAATGAATTCCGTGAACAAAATAGTGAACAACCTATGAATTAAACTACAAAGACATTTTAAAGAAAATTCAATTACTGATATCCAGCCTGTAAATGCTAGTCTTTACAATGTTTCTTCAGAAATGTATTGACCCAACCAGATTTTCAAAGCATTTCGTTAGAATGTCTAAATAATCACATTCTTTATTCGACATACAAGTTCTGCTCTTGGTATCCATTCACCGTGAATTGTTGTGTACCTAGCCAACCGTCTCATGGACACAGTTGGTTGATCCGACTTAAATATAAGGTACTTCAAGGATATGCAGGAGTATTCATGTGAACGCTAAAACTACAATAATCAAACTTCTGTTTAGTAATACTGGATATCTCTGTTACACACAGATGTCAAACAGAATCTAGAACATGACCATCAGCAATTTTGACATAATTTTTTTCTAGTAGATTGAAATTAATGAAATTTCAAAATTTAGATTCTCATCATTTTTCTCTCAGTTCATAGTTACCCGTTGTGATGTGGGAATACATGTTTGGGAAAGCATTTTTCACACAATAAAGGTTAGAAATATGAAGTACAAGTTACATATGTCTAGAACTTTCCCAAAATATTTTCTTTTCTAAATGTCCTAAACGGTGGATGTTTGGGACTGAGCTATTGGTTGTGTGTGGTTGTGTAGGCAGAGTGAACCTAGACAAATATACAGGTGTTTAAATCTAGTGTTTAAGTGTTTAACACAACTTTGCACCTGGCAAAGAATTCTCACATAAAAAAATAATACTGTACGACTTTTGTCGGCAAAGTGTGATAGTAAGAGAGTTAAAAATGTTATTAATGAATGTTTGTGAAAATTTAAGAACACAGGATATGATATGTCCTGAAAGTTGTTTTAGGGACATATTTTAACGTGTTTGTTTTGAAGGTTGTCAAAATGGAAACATACGTAACCATAAAAAGTTTGTTGAAAGTCTGTATTGAATGGAAGCAGAATGATTGATGTAAATAGTGAAAATGATAATGTTAGCTGATTTGTGTGCAAGAGATTTTAGTTATTAAATTGTATAAACACAATGTAAATGTAAAACATATTGAGAAATATATTTTATTATTTAAAGATATGTTGATAAACATATTCATTTCATTTTCTTTGTAAATATATTGAAGTTTTATCAGCTGTAAAATTGAAGAAAAAAATATGAAAATTTCGTTTGATATAAGTTGTTTTTGACACTGATGTAATTTCTTTCATATTTTGTGATTCCATATGCCATATTTTGAGATGTTGTATAATATCACATAGCTGTACAATTTCATATTCATTGAAAAAACTCACTCCCTATGTGTATATTAAAAATTTCATTGTTCAATCTTAGTGTCATGTGTAAAATGGCTGAACTTGTGTACCTTTGTATGTAGCACAAGCACTCAATCATTTGTACATTGATGCAGAAACAAATCAATTGTTCGAGAAAATACTTTGATCTGTATTTTTTCCCTTTTTAATTTCTCTAAATTTGAGTTATACTTTTCAACGAAAAATTTGAGGGCAAGAATACACTGTATCTTTAGACAAAATTACATCAATGAAACTGGCATCTGTTATAAAGGTCATTAACAGAAATAATTTTTCATGTTACAAATATTCCACTTTCTTCATCAACTGTTCTATTTTGAAAGAGTTTCAACACCTATATGCATCAATCTATTTTTTGCGTCCTCCCATCTTGGGTATATTATACACTAGTCATAGTTTATATAAAGAGAAGGTGTTAAGAATCATTTGGATCTGTTGGAATAAAATAAAGATCTGAATTTGCATACAGCTTGTCCTCAAAATAATACAGATATACAGATGGCCAGTTTAGCACTCGTTAAAAGCCTTTCCTTTGTCAAGTTCACAAGAACACTGAAAGCTTGTGTTTAAATAACGTATATTTGTGTCTATTGTTATTGTCAGAATGACCTAAAATATTGTTTATAAAACTACAAACATCCTAAAAAAAATGATAAAAATGCTGAAGTAAAAACAATGCTAGTGTTTGTTGTTTCTTTACACGGAATAACTTCCAGCTGAACCTGTTAGATAAGTTCATGTGCTTTACATGGTAAGATGTATGTCTCCGACAGAGATATAAAATTACCTGGTATTTATAAGATTCTTGTAGTAAACTTCCATTATGACTGGCTGTGATATTTGTCGATTACCTGTGACATCTCTTCTACATCCCACTCTAGTGGTCAAAGTGCGCTGTGACATACATATTTCAATGATAATCTTATATTAGTGCACAGCTTTCACACTGAGAGTATTGCATTAATTATAATTATAGTTTATGTATTTGTTAACTGAACAATTTTGTGGATTCATGAATTCATCATGGTGCTAACTCACCAAAAAGTGATAAAACACTAATTTACAGTATTTGATTTGTCTATTTCACAAAATACATATTCACAGAATATCCATATATAAGATACTGAAGTCCTGTGTTGTACAAATCTTGACTTACAATTTATTTTTGAAAGTCATACCAGGTTCATGTGATTTTCTTGTGTTGGAGAGATAATTCCTAAGAGCATGTATATACTGCAATGCGAAGAGAAATAAGGAACACTCTGCCATCGATGTGGACAAAACTAGCGACCCTTCAAATTCCGTATCTATAGCCAGACATTGTATCATTTGACTCTGTAGGAAAATTCTCATCAGCTGATCACAAGGCTAGTAAGGTGACCTGAACTCTCAACTTACACAGTACTGTGAAAGACTTACCACTCTTAACTTCTGATTGCAGCTTAAAATAATTATTCAACTTGACGAAGTCTTACAGATGTATATCAGTGCTGGATAATTATTCTGAGAGTTATTGCCTTAACTTTGCTTGCATTTGAACAATGATAATGAAATGTGATGCATTTGTTAGTCATACAGTGTATCAATGTCGGGGACACTTGACAATAGAATTATTGCCCTGAAGTAAAATTTCATGTCTGGAGCATAAAACTGTACTTTTTGAAGTGATGCTGATGAAACATTTTTTGAAACAGATTCAAAGTCAACAACCTATGAACTCTTGATTATCTCAAGACACTTTACAATATCAGAATATTTATCAATGACATATTAGTATCAAACAGTGTGTATATATAGCCGACATGTACATCAAGCATCAGAGTGATATATACTGAACAAAATAAGTTAAGGATCATAAACTTGAAACAGTGCAGTTTTACATACAAATAATAATATGATTATATTTTAAATTTTAATGACAGAACATTCATTTTAGTCTTTAATTACACAAAACAAATTCATTTGTGGTAATTGCTACCAAGAGCAGATAACCCTGAGTAACAGCACCCTTGAAATCAAAGTGTAAGAGGAAGTAGAGCAAGTTAATCATGTAGACAAGGAAAACTCATCAAACTGCAATTGGCAGTTTAATAGGCAGTATGACCTCCGTTGACATCAATAACTGCCCTGCAACGTCTGCACATGCTCCTTATTAGTCGTCGGTGGCTGATCTGTGGGATGCGCTGCCATTCCTCTTGCAATCATAAGCTGTTGGCGGTTCTGTGGCGGATTAGGTCGAGCTGAAACCCGGCGTTGCAAGGTGTCCCAAGCATGCTCGATAGGGTTCAGATCAGGAGAACGACTTGGCCAGTCCATGCGAACGATTGCTTCACGTTGAAGATAGTCGTTGACCACACGAGCACGGTGAGGACGAGCATTATCATCCATCAGAATAAAATCATGGCCAACAACTCCTGCAATGGGCCTTACTATAGGGTGTAGAATCTCGTCCCTGTATCGAACAGCTGTTAAAGATCCATTGTCTATGATGTAGAGGTCTGTATGGAAGTCAACACTGATCCCTGCCCAAACCATCACAGACCCACCACCAAAACGATCATGCTGGACAACATAGCAGTCTGCATAGCGCTCTCCTTGGGTTCTCCATACCCTCCTCCTACCGTCATGGAAGTCAACACAAAACCTAGACTCATCTGTGAACATAACATTTCTCCAATGACGTAATTGCCAATTCAAATGATGAGTGGCCCATTGATGTCTGGATTGTCGATGACCTCTGGATAAAATTGGTCGGACTGCTGGTCTTCTAGCTCGTAAATTAGAGGCATGGAGTCTGTTTCTGATTGTCTGGGATGAAATCCTTAGATTTGTAGCACGCTGAAACTGAAGATTCAAGACAGGAGCACTCAAAAACCGCTGACGTCGTGCCGTGATGCAAATGAATCTGTCCTGTCAGGCTGTCGTACAGCGTGGTCGTCCAGATCTGGGGCGTTGACGGACGTTATTTGTCTGTTGATAGCGATTCCATAGCCTACTAATCACGCTCTGAGAAACATGAAGCTGTGCCGCCACATTTCGTTGAGTTTGACCAGCTTGAAGGAGTCCTATAGCTCGCGCGGCTTCCATATCATTTAAATGTCTTCGCATGATTAGTTTTTCAAGTTTTCGTTACAAATCGATTAAATGTTTCCAAATTCAACTTTTTTTAGCTTAGAAGTAACAGAATCAAAACCTGCAAGATTCCTCTGTAGTAATAGACCAGTCAGTTTTTCACACCACCATAGTTAACTAGAGCGGAACGGCAAGACCTTCAGATGCACGTGCTTTCACCTTTGACATGACTTTAGGTACATATTGGAGAAACTACGAGTGCAATTACCGGCAATACATGATTTGAATTTTTAAAGATATTATGGTCACAATTTATGATCCTTAACTTATTTTGTCCAGTATATGTTGTTACGTTTATAGTTCAAGCACATGTATGGGTCAGCCACAGATACATTTATGTAAAATGTTAAAACATTTACTCTTCAAAACTCTGGTACTCTAACATACTTTTACAGATATAAATTGTTACTATGACCAAATGAACAATTCACAGACAGGAAAAGACTCCTATAAAGTTACTTTTGTTAATACTCTTGTTGAAGTAGTTATTCAAGTATGCTACATGGAGGGCTGTAAACATTTTTTAAGCGGATGTTCTTGGCTTACTTTGTTTTTCACAAGACTCACACGTTAAAATTTCTTCTAAATAATGAAGGGTTTAAATTGAATTGTAATGTAGTAGAATTTAAATGTTGACAAAAAATTTAGTTTGAATCATGAATCGTGTAGCGCCAAATAATTGTGTACTGACATTTTATTATTTGTAGTCTTGAGAATTAAAAAGTACCACAGATGTCACTTATATCAGGAAACTGTCAAATGTCAAGTAAACAGAAGTTATCTACAGCTAATATTCCATCCAGCTATTTAAATATGAAGCCTAGTTCCTACTACCGGAGTCTAAAATGATATTGTACATTTGGTTCTTTTTCAATTTAATTAGTTTTCCTTTACACTCTCTTTTTTCAATGCCAAGTTTTTCAGCCGAAAAAATATCAACTGTTGAATGTCACTTTCCTGTTCATATCACATTTTCTGCTAACATAGATATGATATTAAGCAGTCTTCTCTTAATTACATTGGAAGTTGTCTATGAGTTTGATAAGGGATTCTCAACATTAAAGAAGCTGTTCTTGATGTGTTGACCGCTATAAAGTCATCAGAATGATCCTTACAATAAAAACATTGAGCTAAAGTAACAATTTTGTGTTGACAAAACATGACAAATGGACAACATAGAGTAGTGATATACAGTATCACTGCCTACCACTAAGCACAATTGAAGAAACACAGTAAAGAGCATTGTTACCTTTAACTGTTTAAGCCACGTCTCAAACATCTATGAACAACAACCCTTAAATGGCATTTCTTTCCATCAGCTAATCATTACCATTAAATAGGTGATCTTTCAAAGGGCAATAACTCCAATAAATCTTAAACAAAGTGTGTATCAGTGTTATACTATATTTTCCTTTGAAGACATTTTCTGTATTGTCATTAAATGCAAGAATCACAAAAAATTCGCAACACAAACAATTTTGTCTTTTTAATTAAATTTTAATATAAATTCAATATAAATATTAATGGAATGTTGAAGTGAAATTTTCACATGATTTATATTAAATATAAATTGTGCATCAAATTCAATATATTACACATTATGTAACTCTGTGCTATTGTTTGAAAACAAAGTCATATTATTCAGGAATTCATTCAAAAGGACCTTATGTTATATAATGAACAAGCATTAACTAAACTTCTCATGTCACCAAAACACAGACAAAAGGTCAGAGGTCACCATATATTGTCGTTACCCAATACTGAAATTGAGAAAAGATGACAGAATTTTAGACTTTACTCGTTAGCATGAGAGCTTATCACTTTTAACAAAAATAACAAATACATTTGACCATGTAGTTAAAACAATCTTTACAATGATGAAAATTCTCAAACTGATTTTAATGACCTCATATACTTTGTATCAACAGTGTAGACAGGTCACAACCTGCTTTGTAAAGTCGAACAAAATTGAATTTACATAAAAAGTTTAAATGTATACCATAAATCTTATATATAACGGGTAATAATAACATATTTTATAAATCAAACACATTTACTATGTTATGGAGACATTGAAATGTTCTATGGGACATCTCAAAACTGTTCTAAGAGACATCTCAAAACTGTTCTAAGGGACATCTCAAAACTGTTCTAAGGGACATCTCAAAAATGTTCCAAGAGACATCTCAAAACTGATCTAAGGGACATCTCAAAACTATTCCAAGGGACATCTCAAAACTGTTCCAAGAGACATCTCAAAACTGTTCTAAGGGATATCTCAAAACTGTTCTAAGGGACATCTCAAAACTGTTCCAAGGGACATCGCAAAACAGTTCTAAGGGACATCTCAAAACTGTTCTAAGGGACATTTCAAAACTCTCTAAGGGACATCTCAAAACTGTTCTAAGGGACATCTCAAAACTGTTCTAAGGGACATTTCAAAACTCTCTAAGGGACATCTCAAAACTGTTCTAAGGGACATCTCAAAACTGTTCTAAGGGACATCTCAAAACTGTTCTAAGGGACATCTCAAAACTGTTCCAAGGGACATCGCAAAACAGTTCTAAGGGACATCTCAAAACTGTTCTAAGGGACATTTCAAAACTCTCTAAGGGACATCTCAAAACTGTTCTAAGGGACATCTCAAAACTGTTCTAAGGGACATTTCAAAACTCTCTAAGGGACATCTCAAAACTGTTCTAAGGGACATCTCAAAACTGTTCTAAGGGACATCTCAAAACTGTTCTAAGGGACATCTCAAAACTGTTCTAAGGGACATTTCAAAACTCTCTAAGGGACATCTCAAAACTGTTCTAAGGGACATCTCAAAACTGTTCTAAGGGACATCTCAAAACTGTTCTAAGGGACATCTCAAAACTGTTCCAAGGGACATCTCAAAACAGTTCTAAGGGACATCTCAAAACTGTTCCAAGGGACATCTCAAAACAGTTCTAAGGGACATCTCAAAACTATTCCAAGGGACATCTCAAAACAGTTCTAAGGGACATCTCAAAACTGTTCTAAGGGACATCTCAAAACTGTTCTAAGGGACATCTCAAAACTGTTCTAAGGGACATCTCAAAACTCTCTAAGGGACATCTCAAAACAGTTCTAAGGGACATCTCAAAACTGTTCTAAGGGACATCTCAAAACTGTTCTAAGGGACATCTCAAAACTGTTCTATGGGACATCTCAAAACTGTTCTAAGGGACATCTCAAAACTGTTCCAAGGGACATCTCAAAACTGTTCTAAGGGACATCTCAAAACTGTTCTAAGGGACATCTCAAAACTGTTCTAAGGGACATCTCAAAACTGTTCTATGGGACATCTCAAAACAGTTCCAAGGGACATCTCAAAACTGTTCTAAGGGACATCTCAAAACTGTTCCAAGGGACATCTCAAAACTGTTCTAAGGGACATCTCAAAACTGTTCTATGGGACATCTCAAAACAGTTCCAAGGGACATCTCAAAACTGTTCTAAGGGACATCTCAAAACTGTTCTAAGGGACATCTCAAAAAATGAGACCTTTACCTCTGATAAGTAGCAATTAAATCACAAAGAACAACTTACAGTAAAATCATGTATTTTGTATTTTTCAAAAAAATTGCTTCTTCATGGATACATGATTTTGTGGGTGAATATAGTTCCAATAAATCTACTTGTACTTATTTTAACATTTCCTGGACCAGTTAGCAGGTTAGGAATACCTATGAAATCAATGAAAATAAATCCTCCATGAAAATTAGTGATTTTAACAGTAACTCAGGATGTTGACAAGTGTAAATATAGCAATGCTGTGTTTAATTTTCCTCTTCGGACAGCTGTCTTTTATATTGGTACTGTATATTTAAGTATTTAAGAGGTTATCTTATTTCAATACTTTGTGCACTGAAAATACAGTGCTGAAACATCATTGCTATCAATTACAATTGATGTTATTTATTTATCAAGTCATAATGGATGCGCTAAGTCATCATCGTGCTAATTTACCAGCACTAAAATTAGACAGCACAGAATTCAGCACATTTACAGTATTTAACTCAAAGCAGAAGTACTGTTCCTTGCTAGGTCAGTGCTTGAAACTCTCAAACAAACTTCATCATCTCAGTAATAAATATTCCAAACCACTCATGGCTAATAAAGTATAATTTCGATCCACATGGAGAAATCCAAGAAGTAAAGAAATTCTAAATATATGGAGTTTAAGAAAATTTTATCCAAGTTATTGAACTGCAAACAGTTTTCTTACTAATGTATGAGAAAATCCTTATAATTATATAAGGTTTTGGCTGAACTGATCACAAGATTGTTTAGCGAGATTCTCTGATGCATCATACTGTACGTTATTTGGTTATCATCAAACAAATATTTCTCACATCCATTCACACAATCACTTTAACTAGACCAATAAGCCAACTTCATACTTCCTGTCTTGTAAAAACACTTCTTGGTGATAAAACCTTAAGAACATTTGCATAGCATTTTTACCGGTGATTTCATAGATAAAAACTGTAAAACATTGATGGATCTCACAAATCAAATTACAGCACTAAACATATTTTAAGAGACAATGAATCTGATTGGTTGATTTCTGAACACTGCAGTAATGTCTTCTTATCCACATGTAACATCTCTTCTGATTGGAACATCAATAATAGTCTTATGTAACACAACCTGGTTGGTCAATAGTCGGGCACAGGCATCAGAAGAGTCTTCAGAAAGTCATGGTATCGAATTTGGCCACCAGGTGTCACATTAGTTTCCCGGAATAAAGCATCCACTATGGAAATAAATAAAGATTCAGAAACCACTCACAGTTATTAGAATTTGTGCAAATTTACCTGAAGATCTATAAATAGAACAGCTGATAAGATTTAAATACAAGTTCAAAATAATCATAAGAAATATAACATCAAATGTTCTATTTTTCTCTGTTTTTCAACACAATTATCCTTCATTGCTATTTTTTTTTGTGAAATTGAGACAGTTGGACACACACTGACCATCATCTAAAGATAGTTGTACACACACTGACCTTCACCTTGAGACAGTTGTACACACACTGACCTTCACCCTAAGAGAGTTGCATATACACTGACCTTCACCCCGAGACAGCTGCATCCCAATCTTCATGAGGATGTTTCGGACTTCACCAGCCGGTACATAACCTTTCTTCTCCTGGTCATGTGCCACGAAGGCATTCAGCAACTCTTTGTCTACATTTTCCACCTTGGAATGGTCATGCATGGCTTCGAGGAATGATGCGAAGTCCATTTTGTTGCTTCCTGGAGACACAAGAGGATAATGGCATATGAAAAAATTTACAACAACCATTTGTTTGGTGGGGTCTCCTTGTAGTAGCTGGTGGCTACCTCACTGAACAACATATGAGAGGGGTGTCACATGCCATCCAGAGCAATCATGTGAGCACAGATTAGTACATTTCTCAGCTTACTGAGACACACAAACTGTCACAGGTACAGAGCACTGAACTACCAACCTCAGATCTTCACCAGAGAATATGTAGGAAAATGGCTCTGACTGACTGAGGTATCGCAGACTCAGACAACAGATTCACATTGATTTAAGTCTTTATCAATCAAATCATGAAATATTGTCCATTTTACATGATTTCAAATATACTCTAAATAAATAATACTTTAAAAATAACCCTTTCTCAGGGTTTTCCATAAAAGTCAGTCACCGGCCAATTTGACCGGCTACTTTGATCATTTGGCCGCCTACACCAATCCAGTTCCGTAATAATGTTCCGTACACGAATACACGTACACGGCAGGCCAGCCTCCTACTTTCACTACACAGCCTACTACTAACAAAATTATGGAAAACCCTGCTTTCTAATATTGTGCATGTTTACACAATGAAATATATATTATGATCCATGAAATGATTTTTCACAACACATTTTCTAGCCACTACAAATATTTAACATGAAAGTGTTCTTAATACCTTTACTGTATGAGGTGTAGTACTTGTTGACCTCATCAGGGGTAGGGCTGTACCCAAGTGACTGCATGATATACCCTAGCTCCTCCTTACTTCCAATATTTCCCTTACGTGCATGGTAGAAAAAGCACTCCTTGAAACCTGAAACACACATTCAGGCTGTCAAACCAAAATTCACATTCCTGTTACAAAATGTAGAAAACTCTACAGAGAAAATAGAGAATGAGATTTGTAAAGCATAAAACATTTAGGCAGAATCTCGCTGCCGTCTTTAGTCAGGTAACGGGCGGATTGCATCATTTTCAAATAGAGTAGACCATAAACTTATCCTTCAGACAGTCGTTTAAAAATTAAGTCATCATGGTAATGATTGTTGTAGTGACTGAAAAAGGGAGTTATTTAAATGGGAATCAAAGTATATTAAGGGGGTGTTATATGGTTACAGGAAGTTAAAATCCTAATGCACTGTCCCATGTTATACATGAACTATGGGAGGGGGCTCATTTATCACTTTAGTCTTTTGAAACAAATGTAATAGGAGCAGGTTGGAGTGGCTTGTATATAGTGTCAAATACAGTCTCTGTCATTCAGCTGATGGAGCACACTTCTTTGGCTTAGTTGGCAGAGCCGGTCGTTTATCACGCCACAGACTCCGATTGGATTCCTGATAAGGGCACTCAACAAAAATGTGTATTTTCTCTGTTCTTTAACACATATAAATTAATAAGGACCCTAGTTGTTTTCAGAAAGTCCATTCAAACTATACAGAAGGCTCCAATTCAATCTGAAAATGACCTCACTTAGAAAAAAAACAGATCACATCTGATCATATTGAGGTAAATAAACAACAAAACAGCACAGATGAAACGTGGTTCTCAATGTAAACATCAGTTGACATCACAGTTTTTATGTTTCAGGTCTATAGAATTTTCACCTTATGTTTTGGTTAAACACTCTGCCAAAACATTCATTTACTTCGCATCAATTTTCAACGGTTAACCTTTCTCTACTTTTTAGCTGGGATTACCAGGTTATGGCAACAGTCACACTACAGGAATACTGGTTATTGTGAGTGGGGCTTAATTAAACTACCTGATAATGGGTGTGGCACCTGTGCTCGCTATGGATACTTACGATCTATATCTGTTTGACTGAAGGAATATGCCTGAAATAAAGAAATATACACATTTCAATGACATGTAATACTTTTTATCACGAAATGACACTCCAAAATGTTTATATTATTTCACTGAATTTAGGTGTCACTCACCATCTTGACAGCACAGGTGCAAAACCGATGATTTACTGCGGGACAGATTTTTAAGTAAAATATATCCCTTTATAAAAAACTGACTCTGAAAAGGTTAGTAAAATATTGCCAATTCCTTCTTTTGAATTATTGGATCAATTTCACTGGATCAGAAAGTTGACATTTCATCCATATTCATCCCGCACATAGTCAGGGGAGGTAACGCCAAATTCACGAGGCTGAAGTGTCATAGTTGAAACCTTGAACCGTCCGTGTATTTTGCATACACCGACTATGTTTGATAGAAGAAAGGTTTATTGAAAACAGTTTCATCCTAATTCCGCTCGTATTTAGTATGTAGTCACCAAAGGTAAGCTATTTCTATCAGTATGTTTAATGCAATTTGAAAAACAAGCTATAACGAACCGGAAAAGAACAGACGACAAAACTGCTGTGTCAGTTTGTAAACATTATCTGGAGTCGCTTTCAGTGTTATTAAATGGGTCGGTTAGTCATGTCTGTTCGCATCTCCTCGTCATTGCTATCATACTTACCTGTGTGCAAGAATGTAACAATATCATGTGTACCAGTAGGTCATATGTCCTTATATAGGCCAGCATAGATTTTGTGCTCTTAAAACGTTTTTTTCACTGTTATATTCTCTGGTCTTTGAAATCCATGTTACGAAACGATACAAAACTTGTCGATCGAAAAATGGGTATTTATTTTTGTGATTATATCACTGCGCAGATTATGTAAGGATAATTTTTGAGCTATGTTCATGATCTGGGACATTTTTTGCTGTGTATATACGCATGTGACTAGTACTTGTCTCCTTCATTAATTCCATGTACCAGTTGAAGACAATGAAGTACTAACGGTCCATGCATTGTCTTGATCTATAGCTAGAGATTTATAACTGTATGTATATTATCACGTACGAGTTATCATAAGCAGTCAGGATTCTCCGACCTTGTCATATTCTGAGTTTTCCCGAACTGATATGAGAAGATGAGTGAAGATCTAAATACCCACTGAAAATATATACCTGCTTTGTGTTATGTGATTTAAGGTTGATTTGAAAAGATTTGTTCATAAAGGAATCTTAAGAAATATAGAAGTCCTCAGAAATGTGTATTTCCACTGATATAACAAACAATAAGACCTTGTTTTTTTAAAAGAAATGTTAATAATCTGTAAGGTATATAGAGAAAAAGTCTAGATTTATTTACAGAAAAATTAAAAAAAAAGAAAATTTTTCGGGTATATCATGAACTTCAAAAATAAAGGATATGTCAGGTTAGCAGAAAAGAAGTTGTTGTTAAGTTTTAGTTATAAGAGCAACATAGCTCTAATTTTGTATCCATTTGTAGGCTTCACTGGAATGTTAGGAATGGGTGTGTCTGTAGAAGAGACAAATTTGCACCCAGAAGTTCTTAAAAAATCAAATCTCAGCCTTCTTGCCGCCTCCACTAATGTAGAGCCAACTACCTCAACCCATCGCCATGGTAATGGTGATGTCGAACATCATCATCATGAAGAACATCGTATCAATCAGAAGGTATGGTATTTATAGTGCAGTGCACTTACTTTTATGTCCTGAACACATTCTGAACATTCCTAAACTTACAGAACTCATTAGTCTATGGGACTTGTCAATATTTCCAATATCATTTGGTCAAGTTTCTAGGTTAACAATGGCTTGAATCTGCATGAGCTTTATCAATTTTCCGAAGATGAAATGAATAACAAACTGAATAATGGAAAATTTGTTCTTGTCTTAAAATTATCTTTTTTTAACACAGGATTAGTGCATCATGGCATATGTTTCTTATTCAAAATCATGGATATGGATATTTGGAGTAAAGAACAATGATTAAATTCTTCAATACTTTGGTGACTAGTCAATGCATCCCAATATTTTTCATCTCCTTTCAGGTTACTGTAGTCTACTTCAAACTTTTTGTAAACACTGTATATATGATATATCTATTTTACACTGTATATACATGATATAATCTTTGAGTTTGGCAGTGATTATCTTTGTTTTATTGACATTTGAGCAAATTAACATTGCAGTCATAATCTAGGTCTCTTTTTATGCCCCCACATTGTAGATCTGAATCACATATTGTTTGTCTGCATATTACTTAAACTAATATCTTGGATTTTCATATTTGGCATGTTTACTTATGCCAGGTTCCTGATTAAGAATATGGTACCCTGAACTTTGAACCTTGATCTTGACTTTTGACCTTCTTATTAGTTGTTGGATTTCCGTCAATATTTGGTGTATTTCTTTATATTTGGTGCGTATATATTGCTTTATTTGAGTGAGGTCTTGAATGGGTACAATATTGATCAAAATCTATCAATGTTTACCAGAGCTACTGGTCTTTTATATTAGAATAGATCATTTATTGTTTCTGTCAATGACTTTGACTTTTACCATGTCACTACTAGCGTCAGATTTCAACAAAATTTGATGTATTTTAAAAATGCCTTTTAATTGAATGTTGGAAGGCCCCATCTATCCATCATGAATGACTTCCCTTGGGGTGCAGCATTTCTCAAACATATCTTAATAATAACATAAGGGATACTCAACATGACGGCCTCATAGTGTCGAAACATGTCAACGGTTTACTCGTGAGAATAAACATAAGCACTAGTTCTTGGATGTGGAGTATCCTTTTTCTTATTATTATGTTTACCACATTTTAAGGATCTCTATTGAATACCCTGTGGGATCTGTCCAGGAACATAACTGCAATCTAAGACCTCAAGAGTGTTGGCTCGCCAATATATTGTTTTCTCAAACATATCTTGTACTTTCGTTACAAATTTCATATCACAAAATACATACATAGAATATTTTGGCTTATATTATGATATGAAAAAAAAAGAATGTAGTGGTGTATTAAAGTGTGTCCTAAAATGACATTTTTTTTTGTCCACAGGTTCCAAACCACAATAAAATCATCACCTCTCTCATAGCAGGAGCTGTGGCTGGGGCTGTAGCTAAAACAGTTATTGCACCACTGGACCGAACTAAGATCCACTTCCAAAGTAAATACCAAACATAGAGAACCTTATTAAGGCTTAATAAAGATGGTAAAAAAATCAAACAATCTGAATATAAAAATCATTATGATATTTGTATATGTATACTGTATGTTGGCTGTTACGAAAGGCACAGAGGTCACATCAATGTTATTGAATTCAAAATTTTGACCAAAGGATGGCAACAGTGAATGTTTTCTTTTAAGATGATGTATAATTGATAATATTAATAACCTGTCTCTTATCAACTAATACATCATTATTTTGGGGTTCAAACTCAAAAGTCCTAAAATATATAATCAAAATTAGGAAAATCGTTGGTAGATCTTCACATATTTTGTGAAGTTTTGTTCATTAAAATAAGGTATTTGATTTCAAGGATAAAATTGAAAGCGTCAGAAATCATTTTCTGCAAATAATACCTATACCAATTTGCGTTCATTGAAAGCTTTGCCATTGTGAACAATTTACATTCCTTTTTGTAGAGTGATTGTTAAAGAAAGAATTTTCAAGAAAGATGTTGCTTTTAATCTATCCTGTTTATTGAGGATATGTTGGGTTTTTTTTTCAGTTTCCAATACACAGTTCTCTGTAAGAGATGCCTATGTCTTCCTCTGTAATACATGGAAGAATGAAGGGTTCCTGGCTTTGTGGCGAGGCAATTCAGCAACAATGGCAAGAATCATCCCCTATGCAGCTATTCAGTACACCGCCCATGAACAATATAAACGATTCTTCATGTTTAATTCCAAGAGGAAGTATGTCCTGTACATTATCTCAAACTCTTGTCACACACCACTGACGTACCTTGCTGGTTGTACCATCGTACTACTGGTGTAGTTCAGTTGTCCACTATAGGAATTTAACTTCAGAAATTTTGAGCATATTTCTGCCACTGCTCTCCATTGCTAATTTTCTGGCTAATGTCTTAACTATATCCTGACACTGATATTGGATTCTTAGTGATGTGATGCTATGGCATTCCATACTAGTTCTGATCCCCAAAATTAAAAAAAAAAAATTGTGACTGATATATTTCTGGCAAAATCAGCAAGGTGTGACAGTGCTTATAGAAGGTCTTACATGAGTTAACATTTATATCACATTTAGAAATCAAGTCCTAGACTTTTTCATTTGATCACATTATTTGTAAGATTCTGTTGATCATATAACTAAGATGCTTTTGAAAAGATCAGCTTGTTACATTATAGTAAATCTAAATTGGCAATTTTTGGCGCTTTTTATTTCCTGGCTGATAACAAAATGTTAATGATACATATGTGATTGGAACCTTCAGTCAATCACAACACTGGTAACAAGATGTAGTATGTAACCTAGTAGTAACAGGAGACAGTATGATGTAGTTATTGAATGGCGCTTTATTTCTGACTATATTCACATTCAGGAAATGCCTTGTTATCTTGATTGTGGTTGTCTTTGTTGATTTTCACTTTATCATTTATCTTATTGTAGACACCTGCCACCTGGTAAACGGTTCCTGGTGGGATCTATGGCAGGTGTTACAGCATCGTCTATGACATATCCGTTAGATTTAGTCCGAGCTAGGATGGCTGTCACTGCAAAAGACAGGTAAGTGCTAGTTACACAGGATAAATATATTGTAATGACAGTTTCACAGCATTACAGACAGGTCAGATTTGAATTTCCTAGCATTAAGCTGATAAATCGTAGTATTGGATTATCTTAATGTGTTTGAAATATGTTGTGATTTTATTATTATAAAATGAGTTTACTGACTGTGCATATCATTTGCAACAGTATGTTCACAAAATACTTTAGCGAATTTCAAAATACCTATTACAGTTCAACTATCATACATAGTATATTTGATTCATGATAACTTTTCTTTATTTAGAGTCAAGCAAATTTTTATTTAGGGTCATGCTGCTTCAGGAAGAGTGTAGAGGTCATTGACTTTAATCACAACACAGGCTATACAAATAATAAATAATAAATATAAGGAGAGTATATTATGGTCACAATCACAAACTATTTTTATAATCCAATCAGATATCAGGTATGGAATGATCACTGCAATAAACAAGTACATCTCAACTCCCACCGATTACATGGTTCTCTATAGTGTTATGGTATAAAGCAGACACTTTATACAGGTAATAATATATATCCTTATACAGCTGTTGTGAAGCTGACAGTAAGGTCAATGATGTGTTGTATTGTTATACAGATACCACAACTTGTTTGAAGTGTTTTTGAAGATAAAAACAGAAGAGGGTTTGAGGACACTTTATCGTGGCTTTGTACCAACTCTATATGGTTCAGTGATCTACTCTGGTCTGGGGTTTTGTACCTACGAAACACTTAAAAAATGGCATGCAGGTAAACTGTTGTAACATTTCCCAAATAGTTTCAATAATATTTAATTTGTCTTGAACACTTTCATCTCCAAACAAATTGTTTCACATTTTCTTGCAAAATTTCTTGAATTTGATCATGTTTATTATATGTTTTCTTGTAAATGTTTATCAATGTAACTTGCCACTTCAGCTGTTTGTTGATACTACAAAGTACATTTATTACTGTTAGACAGTTTCATTCTCCCCAGGACTCTAGCTTGTGTTTCAGAGTAATTATCTGTAGGTTTTGATTAGTAATTTGATTAAAAAATATTAACCTAACCATGTATGGAAGTGATATATCTGTGAAATCTGTAAAAAAAAAAAAAAAACAGAAATTTGGTCTTTTTGTCACAGGTATGAGTTGCAGGCAGGGTAAAATTATTTTAAAAAAGATCTAGATTTTGTCATGCATTTTATTACTTTTGATGTCTTTAGAATACAACAAAGGGAAGCAACTCACGTTAGCAGAACGCCTTTGCTTCGGAGCCTGTGCAGGGCTTCTAAGTCAATCAGCTTCTTATCCACTGGATATTATACGTAGGAGGATGCAAACAGCAGGTAATGTTTCTCACGCCCAAGACGTGTACTAGGGTTTTGGTTTTTTAGCTGTTAATTTGATGTCAGTTCTTTTTTGTTGTATTTCGGGAAGACTAATTTGGAATTTTATTTGTGAACAAGGCAGATTTTTCCCTACCTCCCACATCATTAAAAATGAAAAGTATATGTACAATCTAGAGAAGCAGTACTGAAAACAAAGGCTAAATCCTTTATATAGTAGTGTTGTCACCTGGCATGACAACTACACAGTTCAAAAATGATTCAGAAACTTGAATTCCAAATTAAATTGGTTTCAGTTGATTCTTGTGTGACTGTGATGTAAGAATTTAAGTAATAAAGTCAATATTTCATTCTCTTGATTTATCGAAATGAAAACTTCCTAGTAAAATATCCTACCTATCAGTGGACCACTAGTGGTGATCACTCGGTTTGTACAAAAATGACAATGTCTGTTTTGAGATGTAATAATTCACCCATTTGTGATGGTACGTTGTCAGAAAGCAGAGGGTGCTTTTGATATAGAGTAAATAACTGACAACATTTAAAGAGTGGGACATTGCCTGTTTTTGAATGTTTACAGGCACAATGCACAGCTATTGTTTAAAAACAAACATGAAATGTCTAGCCAGACATTTAGGGATCCCCTTAGTCATCACATATTAACATGAAGAATAGTGACTTTTGTCAAAATTTTGGCCTAAATTGTTCATATACTGAAATGAGTATTGTACTATATTTTCGTAAATTGATGGTAAAGTGAAAAAATGCTAACTTCACAAGGTTGTCTTTTGAAAATGTTTTAGAAAGTAATGTGAATACAATTGTAGCATGTGGTTCTTGTCATAAAATGAGAGAAACATGGCAGTTGTTTGTAGGATACTATTGAATGTTACTACAGCCTCTGGGAAGAACTGCTTTTTAGCTGTTCTGCAATTTAATTGGCCAGATTTAGTTTGGAAGTTTGGAAGGACACCTGGACACCTGGTGTTAAATGGAAGTTTGGAAGGACACCTGGTGTTAAATCCAAGCATTCATTTTTATGTCCTCCAAATTTCAACTAAAAAAAAAACCCCTGCTATATATACACATTACAATGATATCTGCTTCAAGTAAAGATAGTGTCACTGTAGTGAGAAGTCTTTTTTTTCGCGGCTATGACTTACTAATGCCACACATGAAGAGCATTATAGGATCATTGAAGTGTTTGTGCAACATTAATGCCAAAATAAAAAAAATATCATTCTACAATAGTAAATCCATACTCAGTTTTCTTTATATTTCAGTATTTTCACATATACAGTATGTAAAGTTTTCTGTTCACAGGGGTAACTGGTCATTCTTATGACTACCGGAGTGTCACTGAAACATTTAAACTTGTGGTAAAAGAAGAAGGTTTTCAAAGGGGCCTATACAAGGGCCTCAGCATAAACTGGGTGAAAGGACCGATTGCTGTTGGTGTCAGTTTTGCAACATTTGATGTCACAACGCTATGGTTACGGCGACGAAAAATGTTCCACATAGACGAATTAGATGGAGATTAAAAATAATTGATAATTATTTAGGACTAAAACAAATTATATAGACATTTTTAATGAGATATATTTAGTTTTATATTAAGCTGATATTGTTGGGTGTATATACAGAGTATATATGAATGTGTGGCCTGTATGTTGTCAGAAGAATGGCGTTTTCTGTCCAGCTCATATTATTAACCCCAGAAATCCTGACTTACCTTATTGATATGGCAATGAGCCCTGGCTTTGTAATAAGCCCAACTGCATCTTTTTTTTTACCGAGAAGTGCTCTCTCTCATCTTCCAATAAGCCCACCTTCCCTGTCACAGATAATGTGTTGACACCTTGGGCTTATTGAAGGTTAGATAATATAATTTTCAAAATACAATTATTGTTTGATTCACATGTCTGTCAATTTTTATTCTACTGTATAAGAAACAGATATTTTCTCGTCAAGAAAGAGATCAAACAGTAATTATTATTTTAGCTCGATATGTCTCAGTATCTGAACTGTGGTTTCAAATATGGCTTTAACTTGCAAAAGCCACTGGCGATACAAATTTGTCTTGGCCTACTATCCATAGAGTGTGATGATATTTGAATGTATAACATTTCCTTAGAACTAATGAAGTTTTAACATCCCGACTGACGTCCTCTGATGAGACCTTCCATCAACTTCTAGCTTGGTACACACTTTTGGGAGTCTGCAGCAGTCTTGTTTGATTTATATTCTAAAAGGATTCCAATCTTTATCTCAATCCTGATTCCTGTTACTTGATAATTAATTTTCATCTTGTTGAGCTTTGCATTAATTTTGTTTGAAGACACATTAATACTTTGGTCTTTACTGGTTCACATGTTAACTTTATTTTACCTACTTTTTCTTAATACTAAGTGGGGAGATGTTAGATTTGCTCAATTTTATCTGTCATCAGCAGAAAGTTACATCTTTTTGTTCTGGTGTCAAATGTCAGGGTTTTATTGTTTTTAAATATTGTTGATTATTTTTTCTAATCCTTTTTTTGACCTTGATTTTTCTCAGAATTGTTGAGGTCATAAGAGATACGATTTATGTACACTTCTGGGTATGTTAAAAAGTCCTTAAAGTTTCAAGAAAAAAAGTTTATATGTTTTAAACAATTTTCATTTTTTTGTGCCTGTGAATGAAGGAAAGAAAGAAATCCAATGTCTTGAATCATGACTTTGAATTACTTTGACAATAACAGCTATGTGTTCTTGAAACCCTGGGTTGATATATCAGTCCTATTCATAAGGGTGTGTGCTTTCTTGTTTTTTTTTTTTTTCATTCATCTTCATTACAAAAGATTTCTAATCTGCTAAAATGGTAAACCATCCTGAATGAGAAGTACTTTAGACTTCATCTATCAGCCTCAACACTATAATAATACATAAAGATTACATTTGTAAAAACTGAATGGGAAATGTGAAGCTGTTAAATTGAGAAAAGGAAAATATTGAATGCTGTAGTAGTTTGATCACGAGGATTATTGGTCAACAACATCTTCTGGTCATCATTCCTAAGGTGGAACGCACACTTTAGTTTCTACTTTGCTTGAAAACAAGTTTGGGTATTTCTATGTGAAACGGGTTCAAAATTTTACACATCTTAATTTAACAGCTTCTGAACATGAAGTATCAGCTTGAAAGAAATGTGTTTATGTTAGACAAAAATTAAAAGCAACATTAAATTTTTTTTAAGTATTGATGTTTTTTAAGAGAAATTACCTTTAAAGACCATGAAGTCCATTTTTGGACTATTTCATCAAAGCCTCTACTGTGACATGAAGATTTTAAAATAAATCATTTCTCTTCATGGTTGTGATTCCTGTTCATTACTTTTAAACAATTTATCCATTAATTCCTTTAGGTAGTACCCTTATTCAAAACATAAAGTCTTGGACTGGGATAGATAAGTTGCTTGAATATCCCTTAACAAAACCTAGAGTCATGGGCTGGATACACATTATACTGGAATAGCCCTAAACAAAACCTGGAGTCTTGGAGTAGGATAAATGTTTAACTGGAATACCCCTTAACAAAACCTCGAGTCCTGGGGTGGGATAAATGTTTTACTGCAATAGCCCTAAACAAAACCTGGAGTCCTGGGGTGAGAAAGATGTTTTACTGGCCAGGGGGGGTGAGATAGATGTTTTACTGGAATACCCTTATCAAAACGTGGAGTCCTGGGATGGGATAGGTTTTTTTTACTGGAATAGCCCTAAACAAAACCTGGAGACAATATAAAACAGAGACTTATTAGGCCTTTTGGGTTTAGATAAGGAGTTGATTTCCTCCGTTACTGTACCTTTAAACCAGAAACAAGTATTGTATTTAAGGATGTAAAGATGTAAGCTCTCAGAAATATATAACAGTAAATACAATTAACAACCAGAAAATGATACAAGTATTCAGATATAAAGTGATGTTGTGAATCATTTGAAATGTTTCTGTGATAAAAGACAATCTTACAGTGATGACTCACTGTCGGGGTTTATAATTCTTGTTGGTTCCATTTTTAGAGATTTTGGAGGATAGAGTAAAATTGCAGAAAGTGAAAATTGATAAATGAACACTTTTCATTTTCAATGACGTCTTCCTTTATCAGAGGTCATTATTTGATTTTATTCGCGTAGAATTTAAACCACTAGAGCTTAATAGTAGCTCTCTCGAACCTAGCAGTATATTGCAACAAGTATTAAAAACATTATCTTATATCCAGGGATGTCACACTTTGATTCTTGTTTCAAGATTTTGAATAAACCACAAAAATTTGAACTATCAAAATAACAACTTGAAAAGCTAAAGACTGGATCAGACAGTTTTGTAGTGGTTACCTTACTCACTGAAGCTGAAAAGTACTAACATTGTACAGCCTAAATGATCAGTGTCATTTTGAATTATATACAAGCTTTTTGTTAATTGAGAAAAAGGCATTTAATCCCAATGATATATAATATTTTTGTTCATTCATTTCAACAAAATCTCGCTGTCTTTGTGTTCCCAACAATCCCCATCCACAGAAAACACAATATCTGTATTTCTTTATTTCATAAACTCACTATCTTGTTGCCTTGTCCATATCTGTACCCAACAATCACTGTCCTTCAAATACACAATATTTCTTCCCTGCTTCAAATTGCCATCTTGTTGCCTTGTCCATATCTGTGTACCCAACAATCACTGTTCTTTAAAAAAATATTTCTTTGCAGCATCAAATTGCCATCTTGTTGCCTTGTCCATATCTGTCCCCAACAATCACTGCCCTTCAAATACACAATATTTCTTCCCTGCTTCAAATTGCCATCTTGTTGCCTTGTCCCTAACAGGGTTGCCAATAAATGTTGTCCTTCAAAACCACAATATTTCTTCATAGCACCATCTTGTTGCCTTGTCTCTATCTGTATCCAAAAGAATTAGTCCTTTCAAAGTACAATGCATGTATTTATTTATTGAATCAAAATGCCATCTTGTTGCTTTTCCCTCTCTGTGTCCCCGATAATCCATGTCCTTCAAAAACACAATGTGTTCTAATTGTTAACTTACATATTATTTACACATTAAAAATAAAAATCCTTCCCTGTTGAAATTAGTTCAAGAGATATTTTTAAAAGTAATGAATTTCTTTTTTTATTTCAGATTTTCTATTGCAATGACTCCTGTAGAAAAAAAATGTTATTAACCAACAACTCTCCTCTCACTTTACAGACTTCACTCTCTCTCTTTGTTTCACATGTATGTGCCTGCACACTCATAAGACATATATGGCTTATTTTGTAACATTATGAGTAGTACTTTAATGAAAATACAGAATAAGACAATGAATGTCTAGTCTCTCCATATGAACAAAATATCACAGCATTGTTTGAAATTTTAATAAACAGTCGTACCATTGCTTTCTTACATGGTTTTATTATTTCATACACTGTGGTACCATGTCAGTTTGGATTACAGGCCCAAAGGGGCTCAAAGTTTTGGCAAAAAATAGTACACGATAGGTAATTACTTCACCTAAAGTGATATTCCCATGAACACACAAAATGGAGACCAAGGAAGACAGTGAAGCTGAGGGGGTCAAAGATAAGGCTCTAGTTTCGAAGTGACCTGTTTCACCAAGACCCGGCCTATGCTTTATTGACAATATTTCTGTGTGCTTGGATGTTTTCATTATCACCAACTATAGGCATTTTTTCAGATAAACGATCAGTAAATTTCAGTGTTTTCCTGAGATTACTGTTCTTGTATTTGAAAAAAGTTTGGAAAGTTAGGTGAACGAATCTTTTTTTAGGGAAACGTTGTTCCGTTGTCTGTCCTCGGTCAAATTTTATGTTTAAACGGCTTCTTCTCAATAACTGAAAAAAACATTATTCATTTACAGTATCCAGTTTGGTACCCTTTAAGAATAATTTCAACCAATTTAGGCCCTCATAATCACCGTAGCGTCGTAGAAGGACGAAACAGCTGTATGGTACATTTAGATTTATTACCTCGTACATACTTTATCTATTTCCATATTTGTATTGAAAGCTGTTATTCATCGAGTCCGGAGTATAACCATGGACCATGCTAGTCTATCCCATTGATGAAACAGTAGATGGATTTTTTTCTGTTCTTTTTCTCTTACATTTTCATGAGACTGCATAAATCTTTCTTTCGTGCATATTTTCCCTCGTTCTATAGAAAATATAAGTTCAGATTCTGTTGAATTTGTTGGTAGCAAACAATACAGGGATATGTATGATCAAAATAACCGGTATATTTGAACGCAGTTCAGTATTTCAGTAAAAGAGAGAAATTGAAAATAATCAAATCACAATTCGTATTATACAAATGGAGTAATTAACTAAACCATTGAGTCACGTGACTACATCATTGTGTAAATGACGATACATCTTGAATACAGACATGCACAAACGTGTACTATAACACATTTTCAAATAGAAACGTATGCACACGAACTATATTCTATTTAAAACACCTCACTTTTGTACATATTTTAATTGATTTTTGAAATGCTTTTCTTTTACTTATAAGACTACCTATATATGATCGTCATTGTTAAGCAAAATGTATTAAATTACCTAACATATTATATGTCAACGACATCGAACCACATATCTAGATACGTGTATACAAGGTACAACTTCCTTGTCTGAACCAGACAAAAATGGCGGCGACATCAGGAACTCCCCTGGAGACAGTAAGGTGTAAAGGAAGCTCGAAATGTCCGAACCACAAACAGAAAGACGTGGTCTATGTTTGTTTGGATTGTAAAATTCTAATGTGTACAACGTGTGGTATCAAATCTTCACACAAGACACACAATTTAGAGGAACTTGACGTCTATGCACCAGAAAAGAAAAGTGCAATGTTAGAATTTATCAACAAATCTGAAAACAATACACTTCCTCAACTTAGAGAAGATACGGTATCTACAGAGGTTCAGGAGACAAAGGTTTCATCGGAATTAAAGGAAGTCACAAACAACACGAAGCAACATGAAAAGAAATGTAAACATATAATAGGTGTATTGATATCAGATATCACGTCCCAGTGTGAGGAAATAGTGAGGATTAACCTGGAGAAACTACGACAACACAAGGAGGACACACAACACAGATATGACGTCATATCAGCCGAAGTTAAAGAATGTAAGAAAGTCCTTCAAACAGGTACAGATGTTGATGTATACGACACAGAATTTGATACAATAGGGAATGATAGAGGTCCTGATAAACCTGTTCTACAAACCTGCCAGTATCAACCGTGTACTAACGTTACTTATCATCTTCAACAGGCAATAGGGAAATTCACAGTTGGGTCTATTACTACACCCATCAACGCACAATTGAACACGTCTTCTGTTGGTAACGCTGGATCAGGGAAAACATCCGATGATGGCAAGTCATCGACCCACCATTCACCTTATAAACTACTTGACCAATCAGCAATAGTATCACAATTTTCATTTGCGACAAAAGCTATCTCCATATGTGCAACACGAAAGGGTGAAATTTGGGTACTAGAATCGGAATGTAAAACGTTGACTCTCTTAAACAGCAAAGGCGAAATCAAACGGAAGATAAAACTTGAGGGACATGTCCAAGATATGTGTGTGTGTCCCACAACCGGTAATCTCTGGTTTTGTAATAGAAAACAAACTATCTATTTGATGCACAACCAAGAAACACCAGTCAAACAGTTTACAGTAAGTGACAGTCCGACCTGTCTGTGTGTAACAGGTAACAGGATTGTTGTACTGGCTACAACAGACAAACTGGTGGCCTGCACAGTCACCGGGTCTGTAGTATGCACCACCATGAATGAGAAAAAAACATCGTTGTTGCCATATATGCTATCATGGTGTCCCGTTACAGGGAACGTAGCAGTGGCATATTGTGAACATGTCAAGGCCGCGGACCAGAGAAGGTTATGTGTCAACGTGTATGACAAGTCACTCAAACAAATGTTCACCTACATAGCAGGCGGGCTACAACAAAATACATGTTTAAAGATGTTTATCGTCTACGATTCTGTAGGAAATTTAGTGATAAATGACCAGAATAGAAACATAATAGAACTTATCAGTGGATCAGGTCAGTTCATTAAAACGTTACACAACACTGTGGGAGGAGCCATCAGTATAGATCCAAACAATGTACTTTTTATTCAGGTGTGTCAGGAGGTGAAGGAGGGGAAGAGAAACACTACGTTTCAACAAATCAAATATTACGAGTGAAATGTTGCTCTGTCATGCTTACAACTCCTGCACTTGTGAAGGTAATTGTCCAGGAGTAAACTACAAGTGATAACTAAGTTTGTGGATATCACACGCATGATTATTACTGTTTTATCGATCTGCATTAGCCAAACATTATTGTTTACACTCGTAAAAAAACGTCATCAATGGTTGATAGGGGCCATACGATTGGCTTAGAAACATCATGATATCTAACTTCACGTCGTTTTGTTTTTCGTGACAATGGAAATAAGCAAGTTTGATCCCCACTTGGGATTTCAAAACTTTAGATTTTTTCAGCAGCTAATCTCTTTTTCTTTCCTAATTACTATTTCACGCTGCCCTGTTGTTGTGAGGATATTATGAAGGACAAACTTACTATTTCACGCTGCCCTGCTGTTGTGAGGATATTATGAAGGACAAACTTACTATTTCACGCTGCCCTGCTGTTGTGAGGATATTATGAAGGACAAACTTACTATTTCACGCTGCCCTGCTGTTGTGAGGATATTATGAAGGACAAAATTACTATCTCATGCTGCCCTGCGGTTGTGAGGATATTATGAAGGACAATATTATTATTTCACGCTGCCCTGCTGTTGTGAGGATATTATGATGGACAAATTTACTATTTCACAATGCCCTGCTGTTGCGAGGATATAATGAAGGACAAAATTACTTTTTCATGATGCCCTGCTGTTGTGAGGATATCATGGAGGACAATATTATTATTTCACGCTGCCCTGCTGTTGTGAGGATATTATGAAGGACAAAAATACTTTTTCACGATGCCCTGCTGTTGTGAGGATATTATGAAGGACAAAATTACTATTTCACAATGCCCTGCTGTTGTTGGGATATTATGAAGGACAATGCTCAATCAATCAATGCAATGCAGTAAATTTTATTTCAGTGTAGAAAGTAAAGAAAATCGATTTAATTAAATACTCTTTCTGTACCATCACCTTCATTTCTCTTGGCTGATTTATTAAGCAAATATGCTATATCAAATTTAACATATAAGAATTTTAAATGCTGCATTGTCAGTATTTAGACTAAATTTTCTATTTGTGGCGCAGACATGTTACGTTTTGTCTGTCATTGTGTTGTTCTGAAGCCATCACCGTTCCACTGTGTGTTTGTCAGCTCTGAGAGTGATTTATATAGGTATATGTATCGAGATATGTGACTGAGTATCGTTTGCGTGTCGATAAACATTTTAAATCCTTTACACAATATCTGTATATATGTATCTTACGTAGTATAGCGAAATGAAAGCAAATACATTTAAAGGGAATAGGTAGTTAAACCTAATGAGTGCTAGAAGTGGAGTAGCAGACTCGTAGTGTAGAAGAATTTTTATGAAAAGAAAATATTTAGGTTTGAAAGATACCAGAAACACTAAATTTTCATCAGATCATTTTCGTAAGGAGATCTCTTTAAGATTAGAAGTTGTGAGGGCTCCGCTCCGCTACAAAATGTTCAAAGTTATCAGATATGTGAAGATTATGAAATTTATTGAACTCATGGGTCAAGGCCGCCTGCCCGTCATGATTTTTTTTAGATTACGCTGGATTTTCTCTCTCGCCTCCTGGGCTGTATAATTTATGCCCTGAGCATTATAACGAGTCATAGAAGGACGGAATTGTTACGTGATGCAATTAAATTCATTGTTTGGCTCTACTGTAACTCTCAATTTGTATTAAGAGATGCTATTTACATATGTGTCATATATACAATATAATCCACACTGAAGTGTTGATTTTTAGCTACATATCGTCAATTGGGCCTTGCCCAAAATATCTTCTTTGCGACGGTTGGCTTTTTAAAACAATTCCGATATTTCCGCTATTGGATCCTGCCCTTTTGCTTCCAGACCCACCGTTTTCTGTCCTGTCATTCTACCGAAGATGAACTAGGCTTCAAAGAATTGGCTTTACATATCCCGTGTTGGGACCCTTATCTCATTCCCGAAACCATCATTGATACAAATTTGTTTACACTTTCCCCAATGATGCTCCTTATCAAAGGGCCGGTTTCCAAAACGGCCCCTTCTCTGATTCAAATTTACTGTTGGTGGTGCATTGCCCAGCATGATTGTGACAAAACGTCATGTTTCCATCGCGCCATTTGGCTGTTTTATGGAAGAAACAATCTCAAAAATGCCATTTTCGATGATAACATTTTAGACACAAAAACTGTGTTTTTTAGAGAATACACCCTTTTATGGGCGTTGGATGCAAACCAATTTTTATCCTATTAAATAGTACGTAATATGCTATTGATGAGAGGAAAAATCATCAAAATGTAAGTGGTGGAACATTTTCAAATGTTGGGTTGAATTAGCCTATGGTTGAATTGCCGATTTTCGACTTTCTTTAGATAATTAACAAAAAAACGAGAGTATTTGCTCGGTATGTTGAGAATATGTACACAGATATGAAAAAAAGTGAGAGAAACACTTTTTCATAAAAAAAATCCAAGATGGCTACTTCACAAGTCCCCGTGGTTGAAGACATTGGCTGACAAATAGACAGAACAACAAACAAAACGTGTTCCTTATGATTTTGGTTGGTTTTCGCATTTACGGGAGTGTTCATAGCTACGGGCGATTGTATAATACCTATATTTATAAGTTTGGTTAGTCACATGGTAACGGGGATCTTTCATATCGAGCCCCAAACATACTTTCGACATATGCACTCCGTTGCCGCATGGAAAACTATTTCAAGTTTTGTCGGAATTTCTTTACCTGTGGTTGTAATGGTCGAGGGTTTTCCAGCGTCCTGTAATACCCAAGGTAGTACAAGATACTGGAGATGTGCGCACACATTCCCATCGTTCTCTCTCCAACTGGGCACTGGCAGTAGTAGTCCTTTATTGGGGCCTCAACATCGGGTGAAACGGTGAACCGTATCCAAACGTTATATTTCGTTTGGCTTTTGTGTCGAGAATGTATTTGACATCGGAGAAGGTCTGGGGAGTGCTGGTAAAGCCACACCTCATAGTCTCCGTCATCACTTAAATGTTCGGCGATGTAACCAGGAGCCAGAGATATCTGATACGTTCCACACGTAATGGTTCTCAAGTAATCAAGATCGAGACGGGGAAACAGTACGGAAGATGCATCCATCTTGACAAACTCGGACCTTGCCCGTCTAGATAGATCCGGATCTATCTTGACTCTCTGAGCTAAACCATTCGGTGTTGTCAAACGGTCCTTCATACGTTCAGCCATTAGCCTATCTTTGGCATCTCTCTCTGGAGACCTCTGGTAGATCGTTCCTCTAATACCATTCAGACAGGCTGTGACGGTTCGAAGCAAAGCCTCAATGACATTGATAAAGCTGTTAGACACCAATTGCGTTCGGAAGAACGTCCAGTGTTTCAGACGACCATGATAGGATTCCACAATCCACCTCAATTTGGTGATAGTTCTGTCAAGATTTGCTTGGACGTCAGAATGTTGACTTTGACCGGGTTTCAGGTATGACGGCATGCTAGCATTGAGGCCAGAGGCTTCGAGAACTGGTAGGACATCTCTAAAACCTCGGTCAACGACAACGTTGTCGTCTGGTTGTAGCCAAGTAACTAGCTTGTCCATGACTTTTTTTGTAATTGTAGCATCATTTTCGCTGCCAGTGAATGGTCCTACGGTGTCCAGAATGTAGCCATCTGGTAAGGCGATGCTCATGAATTTGACATAGTTTCTCTTCTTCTGGCCACAGTAGGACATTCTCTGGAGCTTGTGGTCGGAGCTTTTCTGGATATAAATATAGGTGCCATCTAATATGGCAGTGGCTTTATCTCCAAAAAATGCTTCTGAAAAGACAGTATTGTGCCCGAGCAATTGTTCTCTTGTCAAGTGATCCGGACCTAGAAATTGTGGGACTATCGATGTGTCTAATGCCTGTACTATGGAGTGGAAAGTTTTGGACACACTTGACTTGGAAATTCCAAAAAGAGAAGAACACTGACTCCAGGAAATGTCGGTTTTCAGTTTTACCCAGAACAGTAATAGAGCATCGTGTGTAGTCTTGGTATATATACCAGATGAAAGATATGGGGAACAGTGCGAGTGGATTTCGAGGAACTGATCTTTGGACCAACCTGTCCAGGCCATGCATGCCGAGTCATCAAGAGAAGAAAAGCTTATTGTAAACGCAGACTGGTTCTGTGAAAGGACGTGCGACACCTCTAGGAGGTCATTAATGATTTCGGACGATTTTGATGGTAACTGAGATTCCAAGGAACCTCTACCATCAAGGACAACCTCTGTAGACGGATCTAAGTCGTTACCAATAAGGTGAATGGAGCAGACGCGGGATGAGGTGGGACACCACAGTTTGTGTGAATAGATCAGGTGATGTCTTGCACGTTTTGGTAAGACTGATGATTTTGTTCCATTTTTTGGAAAGGTAACAAGACAGAGACAGCATTTTTTGTGTGAAGATGATCCATTCAAAAGATCATGAAGGGTCAGCAACGGCAGGATATGGGACGGGGAGTCGTCTTCTTCCTCTATTTCCTGGTTCTGCTCGGGTTCAGGTTCAGGCTGATTTTTGTTCCGAAGATACTTCATGTAGCACTTCTGGCAAATAAATGCTTGTTCCTTTGCTGACATCAATCCTTGTTGCACCAGCGTATCTAGGAGCCATTTATATTGTGGACTATTTACATTGCGTGCACTTCTGTTCTTATTGCCACTACGTTTCTTGAAGTATACTTGACACTCTTCTCCAACACATTTACCCTCCATCTTGAAACAATAACGATTGGTTTATGAAGCGTCGATAAAGTAACAAAATAGCAAGCCACCGATGATTGCTGTAAACAGCTAATACTTAGTAGTTTGGTACAATTATGCGAAAATGTGTGATAAATAACGAACAACTAATTACACAAAATAACAATATAATAAATCACATTCAATACCTCCAAGAAGCGCAGAATTGATTGATTACTTAGAACAAAATAAAGTATTTCATATGGATAATCTA